AGCTTGCTATGCAATTCGAGAGTTCCCATAATTTCAGTTTGGGTCTTACTAGTCCTATTGAGAATCAGGTTGCTCGGGAATATCTAAATATTTTCTCTAGGGAAAATATTTTTGATGATTCCTAGGGGACTGATTTGGACGAAGTAAGATCTATAAGAAGAAAAAAAAAAATCAAAATATGAAAGCTTCAGGTGATGATGGAATGTTCTATAACCTCATCAAAAAACTCCCAGAGAGTATCTTGTATTTCTTTGTAAAATTATTTATCAAAAGTTTCACTTTGGTATACTTTCCTGATAAATGTAAAAATGCAAAAAATGTTCCAATTTTGAAGTCGGATAAAAATCCAGCTGAAGCTTCTAGCTATGGTCCAATAAGTTTGATTTCTTCAATAAGCAAACTTTTTGAAAAGATTATTCTACATAGAATGATGCTTCACATCAATACGAACTCATTTTTTTCAGATGAGAAGTTTGGATTTCACCATGGGCATTCACTACTAAGAATTACCCATTTAATTCGTTCAAACAAATCTGAAGGCTGCTGAACTGGAGTTGCTCTTCTAGACATAGAAAAAGCATTCGACAGTGTTTGGCATGAAGATTTGATTGTTAAATTGAAAAAAAAGTTTTATTTTCCACTCTATATTATGAAATTAGTTCAAAATTATTTAACTGACAGAACTCTGCAGGTAAATTATCATGAGCTCGCATGACCTGTGCCAATATGGTCTTGTTGTTACACTACCAGGAAAAAAGCAGTTCGAAGGATTCAGAACAAAGTTCTGAATATGATTTTGAAGTTGCCTCCCTGGTACAGTACTGCCGAGGTACATACCCAACAAACAATTTTAGCTGCAGCTTAGCTTATACAGGCAAAAATTAGCTGCATAAGACAAATTTCGGCTGTATAAGCTAATCTGCAGCTAAAATTGTTTGTTGGGTAGATTCGAATGTTGAGATTTAATAATTTCAGGCAAAAATCGTTGCAATCCTCAATTGCAATAATTAATTCCCTTTATACTTAGATAAGATTTAGTTTTACGATGTAAATTGATATACTGACATGCAGGTTTAAAATACTGAAAAATACTAAAAAAAAACTAAGATATACATATATCATAACAATTAAGGCTGGTACTTAGCTTACTTGTAGTAACTAGAGCACCTAGGTTAAAATTAAATTTAATTTATTTTAAATTTGGAACAAATAAAGAGTTAAAAAACAAGCTTTTATATGTAATTTTTGCAACAGACAACGATTGAAAATGTCTTAAATGTTGTTTCCTGTTCATAAATCACATAATAAAGCATACTAGTAAAAAGCTCAAACAATGTACCGAAAGTTCTTGTTCTACAATTGTTGTAAATTTTCAAGTATCCATGGTTTAAACTAATTCAAAAGTTTGGAATTAAAAAATAAAAATACAAGGGGTTGTACGCAATGGTGATCTAGGACTACGTGGTCTTATATAATAAATCTTATTTGTTAACTGCAGCAGGAGCTTGTGTTTTGTGTAGGAATAGGAATTTGAGCGGGGTTCTCTCTGTTTATACTCTTTAGTATGACGTGCTTGACGTAGATGCTATTGATTCTGGAGAACACCACCACTCACCACGCGGTGATTTGATAAACACCGTTTGGCGAGACCGGATGAAATTCAACTTTGAAATCTGTGTTTGGGAAAACGCTTTTCGCAGGCAATCGGCAATAATTTTCACAGTTGCACATCCGTGCAGCTTTCAATAGTGACATTTTAAAAAATGATAAAGTCTTAATTTTAACGTATTCGTAGCAAAATTCCTTTCGATTGGCGTATTGAGAATTAATATCCATCAGCTCTGGATCAAAATCAGAACACTTTCATGCCGCGACCGACTTTGGTTTTTGAAATCGCACCCCCAATGTTGCCTTAAAGTACATGGTATGTTAGATTTAAACATATCAAGATAAAGCTGGAATTAACGGCGCCGGTGGTGTAGTGGTAAGCGTGATTACCTCTCACCCCAGCAGGCCTGGGTTCAATACCAGTCGGCGCCGCCGGGATGTTCTGAGGCATAACATCTCTGATCACGCCTTCCTTCGGATGGGAAGTAAAACCGTTGGTCCCCGGTTCATGAGTTGATAAGTCGATAGGTAGGGTCCAGGTGTGGGAGCTGCCTTCCTGGCACGTCAGTAGCATTGCTGCTCAGTACGGAAAATAAGATCGGCGGAAAAAACAAACCAAAGGAAAAAAAAAAAAAAGGCTGGAATTAGGCGTAACAGATTTTGTAAACAATAACTTTTCTCGGTGATTTTTAGAAATTCAGGGCACGCTCACGCAAACCAACAATACCGTTCGGTAGAGGAAGTCTTACCCTACCTGATGGTGATGTTGATTTGCGTGGGCGAGCCTTGACTTTCAAAACTTCATCGCAAGAAGTCATTGTTTACATAAGCTGTTAAGCCCTAATTCCAGCTCTATCTTGATATGGGAACTGACATCCTTGATGACCTTGACAAATGTCCAAAAAATACTCTTTTACAAATTTATGGAGGTTTTGTCGTGATGGTTGAGTAATGCTGGGCTATTAAAGTGTTAAACACAGATGAGGCTGGTGAGGTGTATGTTGTTTGGAATGAGGGTGACGCGCTTGGCATAGATGGCCCACAGCGACTCACAAAGAAGCACTGCTGCTGCTGGAGCTGCTGCCGACGACCGGACACTACCACACACGGAACTGAATCCGATCAGCAGTTGAGGCCAACCTTGGTAGCTAGCTGCTTGTGGGGAGCCTTTCATTTTTTACTGGAGAACACCACCACTCACCACGCGGTGATTGAATAAAAACCGTTTGGTGAGACCGGATGGAATTTAACTTTTTTTTTTCCTTGATTTATTTTCCGTCGATCTTGTTTTCCGTGCTGAGCACCAATGCTACCGACGCCAGTGCAGCAGCTCCCACACCTGAACTTTACCTATCGACCAACGGTTTTACTTCCTTGATCAGATCAGAGATGTTATGCCTCAGAACATCCCGGCGGCGCCGACTGGGATTGAACCCAGGCCTGCTGGGGTGAGAGGTAATCATGCTTACCACTACACCACCGTGGAATTTAACTTTGAAATCAGTTTTAAGGAAATCGCTTTTCGTAGGCAATCAGTGATAATTATAATTATCATAGTAACAGTTACATTTTTGAAAATGATAAAATCTTAATTGAGCAAATGTGTAGAAATATATCTGATCGATTGGTGATAAAACTATTGAAATTGGTCCAGGGGCTGGTGTTTTATTAACGTTCAAAGTCTTTCACAATTTTGTTACATGTTCCATTTTCGGTTTTCACAAAATGTACCCCCATATAGAAATCACAGACGTAGTCCTACGTCAAAAAAATTAAAATATACTTTTGGTGATAATACTGGTTTAGAATTTGTACTAAAAATTAAAAAAAAAAAACAGTGTTTATTTATTTATTATATTCAATTATGCAAAGCTTTACGCAAATCGGAGAAGGTCAAGTTTTTTTCTTCCGATTAGTCATTTCGTGTGAAACTGCTTCCATTCCATTTCTATTTTATAGCTTTTACATGTTGCACAAAGTTAAGGGATTATTATGAAATGTATAACTTTGCAGACCATATCAACCCGATATGAATTACTTGTATCAACCAGGTGCAAAATGGTTCAGATTAGAGAGGGTCTAGTATAAGAGAGGAGCAGATTCAAAATAGTCTGCCTTGGCAACCTATACCTAGGTGGTTTCTATCAACACTGCCAATGCAATCAAGGTAGGCACTGCTCGATTGGCTTGACAGTTCGTTTGGCTCAAAACCAGCCAGTCCGCTCCTCTCTTATACTATACCCTCTCTAGTTCAGATTATCTACCACACAGCTAAAGCTATAAGTTGTTTGCTTCATAATGATGGTTAAACCATTAAATTGTAAGCGACTGTATGGTAAATAATTTTTCTTATTGTTATTGAAAAATACACGCTAGGTATGATCTGTGTGGAAAAATATTGTTAAAATATTGAGGGTCAAATCGTCTAATCGAAATGGGTAATATGCCATAAAATGATAAATTACCTAATATCAGTGGGGGGGGGGGATGTGGGGGGTTTAGCACATTTTTCAAACAGGCTTTCAACAATACTTTTATCGTTTATTATAGCTTTTTATATGATTTATTTTTATGTAAGCCCCTTTTACGTTTTTGGCACATAAGCCATATCTTTAATTATGGGCGACACAGCTACAAATCGACCAACAACTAGTTTTCATTCAGAGTTATTCTGCGTGGCGTGTGTGATTCAACTCTCTGCTACCTACGTGACGTTACAATTCAAAGACTCGAGGTGTTAATTAAATGAAGTCTCATGTAACCCGAGTCATACGCGGAGGTAACTACCGTCTAGTGACAGCGAGTCAGTTCATGTCGCATAGCACGCATAATAACCCGAAATGTTTGATTAAATATCACATTTATTCCAGGATTCCACTGTGTAATATGTAGTTATGACACAGGACATTGACAACAAAATCATTCGCTTCCGTTTCCTGGAAGTCAATGCACGGAAAGGTGCTAATAAGGCAACAGTGCGTCACATAGCGACAGTGTGTCTTCCAGGCAAGACTGACTGACCAGCTGTGATCGCACTATCTTCTTCTTCTGCGGAGTGCTTTTTTCCACGATCCAGTGTTGAAGTGGGTTTTTTTTTTTGTAGTATCTCGTCTGTGTTATCTGCTTATGAGGAAATTCCACCTTCTATGATCAACTTGAATCGAAAGAACAACGATAATCAATTATATTCTCCCTGATAACCCATTTCGATGGTCTAACCATGTGTTAGGGCTGGTGATTTATATTAGTGGATGCTTTAAAATGCGAAAAAAAAAAACCTGATTGTTGAGAAAGGAGCCGGTTCTGAGAGAAGTTTTCCCGAAAAATGGACTTGGTGATAGAATATATCGAGCTTTTTGACTGGTACAAGGTCAGTGCTCATCGGTGTTCGGCCGCAGACGGTCTGATCTCACAGTTAGCTCTCTGTAATCTAGTGTATTCTATTATCAACGGCTTCAGCTTCACAGTTGTGGTGTTTATTTTATTGATTTACTATTCAAATTTTAGTCAACAAAAGCTTTACCGGTTTTCCAGCCACGAGGATGAAGTCGCTAACCCTAACAGGTACGTTAAACATTGGTGAAATTAATGACGCTACGCTATATGTGTTAACCTATATATCCAAATGAATCTGAATTGAATGTGTGTATAATTCTGTGGTTGATATCGGTGCTTCTACATTTATTCTGCAATTTTGCCCCACATATCGCTATATAATTCAAATCAATTCTTGATATATTGCTTCAATAAATGAGCTCCCTTGGAAGGAACCTGATTTTTAGCTGATCATCTGAAGTTTTAATGGAGCCTCATATAGCCTAGTAAGTGAAGACACGGTCTTACCATGCCAAAGGCTGCTAGTTCGATAGCCGGTCTAGAAAATTTTAAGGTTTTAAAATATCTCGATTTCCATGAGCATAAAGTATCATTGTGTTTACTTGCCACAGAATATATAAATTATTGATGCATTGCATAGACCAGAAGGGCGAGTTTCATAAAAAAAGACCTCCAGGATAAAGCTTTATCACGTTTGGTGTCTTCAGAGAAGTTTTTAGATCGATAAAGACACAGATAAAAATGTTCTGAATTGTAACCGTAAGAACTGTTCAGTTTATAAAATGGACACCAAAAATTGACTATAACTTTTTAATTTTAAGTTGTATCCGTATTGTTTATACGGGATATAAATTAATAAATACATGAATTATGAACCAAACAAATTTAAGCATTTTTAAATTAATGAAAGTCAAATACATACCTTTGGAACGAGCAATCGAATAAATTCTTCATAAAAAAATTTAAATTATATTCTATATTTCCATATGTATGTTGTCTCGTGTGAACAAGCAAGGTGTTTTTCAATTTTTCTCATGAGATCCTCGATATATATAGGGGAAGTGTACCAGTTATGGCACTAGTGGTCCTCTAAATGGCCATACAGCCTAAAACCTTGAATTTATCATAAAATTAGAAATTTCTTCAATAGGAAGCTAGTCTCAATGTTGTTCTGTATGCATATGTTGAAAAATATGGAAAAACTAATTTTGAATATGGCTTAGGCCGTATGGCCAATTCGGGGAGCACTAGTGCCATAACTGGCACACTTTTCCTATCCGTGGAAGCCTTTTGGTAAAACAAATATTATCTTTGATGATTTTGTTTTTTCTCTTGATTTGTTTTCCGTCGATCTTGTTTTCTGTGCTGAGCACCAATGCTACCGACTATTATATTTTTGACATGACACGGACTGACATCATTCGTACAGTGGAGCTTGTGTCTGGCTGTATATATATATAGGGGAAATGGCTCTCTATATATATTACAATCCGCTTATCAATATATTTTTTCAGCTTTCTTCTTTACAGTAATATCACTTACGTACGAGCAACAGATAACAACGTACTATTTTCCAAACTACTACTGCAACCCATCCCTTTGCCAGAGTGGCGGCCCTCACGTGGCTTGCGCTCCTCCGAACCCTTTCGGCGCTAGTTGTTACGGAAAGCAACCTCAAGTGGTGATCATGACAGGTGAACTTCGAGCACAAATTCTAGACCATCACAATCGGCAACGTTCGCTGCTGGCCAGCGGAAAGTTGCCGGGCTACTTGCCTGCTGTCAAAATGCCGACGCTGCAGTGGGACCTTGAGCTTCAGTATCTTGCGGAGTCAAATGCACGATCCTGTGACTATGGCCATGACAAATGCCGCAATACGAATTGGAGCAAATACGTCGGACAGAACATAGGAGTACTGCGTTATTACGGGCTCAAAATTACTAAGAAGGAGTCGATCAAATACTTCATCGATGCTTGGTTCAACGAATACGTCTATGCTCATGCATTTGTTGACAATTACCCACAGTATTATCATGGGTGGGTACAAATCATATTTTGAAAATATGGAATAAATAACAAAACAATTATTCAATTACAGCCCACAAATCGGCCACTTTACTCAAATCGTTAGTGATCGTACAATCAAGATAGGATGCGGCATGGTCACCTACAATACGTACAGTGGAGACGTATGGACGCATGACTATTTCGTGTGCAATTACTCATTTACGAACATTATCGGTCAGCCAGCATATGTTAAAGGGATTTCTGCTTCACAGTGCACCTCTGGGGTAAGTTTTTCCTACCCTGGTTTATGCAACTGATTTCGAGGCAGAATCATTTTACAATTGCAATAAATATTCTCAAGAATGAAATTTTTTACTGTAGTGTTTATGTATGCGCTTTTTAAAAGAACGTGAGCATTTTCAGCCGGACACTGCTCAGCCCCGACTTTTTCCGATTTTAATGAAACATGGCACGTTGGTGAACAAGTCAGTGTCAACATTTCAAAGGGGCGTAATTGCTTTTGTAAACAATGGCTTTAGCCACCGATTTCTCGCGAATAAAAGCTTACACATGGAAATTGATTATATCAGGAATGTTTCCTCTTATCGTTAATTTAAATTTGCGAGAAATCATTAATTCATTGTTTACATAAACAATTATGCCCCTTTGAAATGTTGGCACTGAAGTCATGTATTATATAAACTGACGCAAATATGTGTGCTTATTTGTTTCTTTTCCCTTGATCTTGTTTTCTGTGCTGAGCACCAATGCTACCGACGCCAGGGAGGCAGCTCCCACACCTGGACCCTACCTATCGACCCATCAACTCATGAACCGGGGACCAACGGCTTTTCTTCCCTTCCAAAAGGAAAGCGTGATCAGAGATGTTATGCCTCAGAACATCTCGGCGGCGCCGACTGGGGTTGAACCCAGGCCTGCTGGGGTGAGAGATAATCACGCTTACCACTACACCACCGGCACCGCTATGCTTATTTGTGTTTAAGGGCCCATTCAAATATTACGTAACACAAGTGGGGATGGAGTCTGGAAATGCGTTAACCACCATGTATTACGTATAGGAAAAGTACGTGACAAGGGGGTGGAGGGTATTAAAAAATCAACTTGTTTGCGTTACATAATATTTGAACGGGCCCTTTGTGAAGAACTAATTATAATTTTGACCAGTGTATTTTTGACAAACCAACCTCCATTTGTCTAATTGCCTGTCGTTGTTGTTGTATTTTACGTGTCAAACTATATTTTAATTCATTGGATACCCCATCGCACTATTTTGTCAACATGTGGCCCTCTAGAAGCAAGCAAGATAAATACAGTTGCTATAACTGAATCAGTTCTGCCTATATTTTGGCGTTCACGATATTATAGTAAGTCTGATCCCGTACTAACTTTTTTGCACTTTCTCTATGTTGCTATAAGAATATCATATGCTACAGAGAGTAAGGGAACACGCGTTTGCTTTTTGCTCTTAGATTTTTTACAGAAAAACAAATACCTACGGAAACAGACTTATTAACTCAGGATTGCATGAACCCGTTGCCAGAAAGTTGTTTCGGAGTCTGATCGTGTCACTTGCCGTGGTTACTGTGGATGCTTATTTCACGTGTTCTGTGCGCAAGTGGATCAACCGTTTCTTGAAACTCTAGGAGAACATGTACACAATGTATTTTGGATGTGACTGTGCTTATCTGTTCTCTAACGACGAGGATATTTTTTTTGAATAGATCCACCATGGGCGAAATTGATAATTTCGTTATGGCTCTGGATGTGGATGCTGTCCATACAGGATTGCTGCTTAACTCTGAGCAAATAATTTTCCATTATGATGATGGAAAGGCAATCGACATACGACATACGATGATGGAAAGACATACGACATACGTGCGACTGTATGATCTGCCACCTTAAGTTCCACACAAAGATTTAGCGTAGGTGCTGGGAAAATATGGAAAAGTTAAGCGTGAAATGAATTCCCAACAGATGGACAACACCTACTTGAATCCAATCAATGTTATTCATTTGTTATCTTTTCAGTCCCAACTTTGCTTACTCAATTTTGAGTAGCCCTACTTGTGACGGATATAAGTAGATCGTACTTAAAATTTTTAGTTGATTTGAAATAGCGTCAGGGCTCGTTATCCCGGTACTTACTGAAGATTGTATTCGATTAAAATAGCACACACATGAACAAACTCTGTATCTTTTTCACTATTATACCAAATAACTTAAGTTTTCAGAGAAGATTCTTTAGAGAGCACTGAACAAGTAAATCATATGTCATGTTTCAATTGAGCCAAAGCTCGTATCGTTTTAATCAAGAAAACAAAATATTTTGTACATTGATGAAGGACCACAATTTGAATTTTTTTTTACTTATTTTACCATTCCATAATCAATTAATTAACGGATCATAACACTTCAAAGTGTGATAGAAAATACTGTTTTTGTTTGGCACTTGGATTGATTTTTCATTTGTTCCTAATTGTAGTTTCTGATATTGTTGCCAATATTTTGAAACATAATATTTGGCCAAAAAATTAATTTCGATCCTTGAGTACTATGAATGAAGCTTCTTGCTGATAAATTTGGCTGATTTTAAATTTGAGACAGCATGATGTTCTCAAGACTATCACTCCAGAGACTCTAATGGCGGTAAGCTCCAACTCGGATTAACTTTTAAACTCGCCCCTGTTTGGATAATCTGCAAAATGTTTGCTTAGAGTCGTGTTGATTAAAGCTGATCTTCTTTCTTTCCTTTATTTAACGTCGGTCTCTGTTCCGCAATCTAGTGCCAATCACCGACGGACATCGACTGTCATCCATTGACGGCAATCGAATGTGCAAGGAAGGCAGCTTCCACACCTGCGTGGGATATCGCACCCATTCAACATACATGGGCCGGGACCAACGGCTTTACTTCCCTTCCGAAGGAAGACGTGACTAGAGATTTTTATGCCTCAGAAAAATCCCACCGACCTCGGCTGGGATTGAACCCAGACCCATTTGGGGTGTTAGAAAGCAGTCACGCTTACCACTACACCACCGGTGCCGGCTGATTAAAGCTGATGTCGACATCAAAGCAGCCGGACATTCCTGATTGGGATTTATGTTTCACTTCACGGTGAAAAGTTGTCACTTGTCGTCACGGTGAAGTGATTCCCATTTGATTTGTACGGTAATCACGGCTCTTATTCTGAGTATCACTTGCTTATCACCGTGTAGTGACACCCGTAATAAGGCCCCACTTCACCGTGAGTGATAAGTTGTCACTCTACCGTGAAGTGACATCGGTGATAAGGGCCGATTTGTATGGTAATCACGGCTCTTAGGCCCCCTTATTCTGCGCCGCAAGTGAGGTGAGTTGACTCGCTGTCACTAGTGAGGTGACAAAATTCACCGCGAGTGAGGTGACTCTCCATTCGATTAGCACGGAGAGTCACCCCACTCACGGTGACTTTTGTCACCTCACTAGTGACAGCGAGTCACCTCACCTCACTCGCGGCGCAGAATAAAGGGGAGGGGCTTATTACGGATGTCACTTCACGGTGTAAACTTGGTCCTTATTATGGGTGTCACTACACGGTGATAAGAAAGTGATACTCATAGGGGCCCTTATTACTGGTGTCACTTCACGGTGAAGTGACAACTTATCACTCACGGTGAAGTGATTCCCATTTGATTTACACGGAAATCACTTCACCGTGAGTGACAACTGCTCACTTCACTTCGTTTTCACCGTGAAGTGACACCCGTAATAAGGGCCAGGGCCTTATTACGGGTGTCACTACACGGTGATAAGGAAGTGATACTCATAATAAGAACGGTGGTTGCCGTACAAATCAAATGGGAATCGCTTCACCGTTCGACAAGTGACATCCGTGAAGTGACATCCGTAATAAATCCCCTTGTCACTTGTTGTCACTTGCTTATCACCGTTTAGTGACACCGGTAATAAGGCCCAATCACCCATATTCTAGTTGTCGTTCAAACCGTAATTTCCATACAAAAAACTTTTTTGTATGGAAAATACGGTTCAAACGAAAACAAGAATATTGGTGAATATCACTTCCTTATCACCGTGTACTGACACCCGTAATAAGGACCGAAATTAAAATAATTTGGATGATTCTGGGCCTTATTACGGGTGTCACAACACGGTGATAAGCAAGTGATACTCAGAATAAGAGCCGTGATTACCGTACAAATCAAATGGGAATCACTTCACCGTGACGACAAGTGACAACTTTTCACCGTGAAGTGACATCCGTAATAAGCCCCTTCACCGTGAAGTGACATCCGTAATAAGCCCCTCTGATAGTGTTCGAGCTACAATGTGACAGCTCGAATATTTTATGGCAAATGAAAGCGAACGAACCCCCGATTTGTCTCCACATGCAATAACAGCGGCGCTACCAACCTTTGCGTACAAATCGACGTGTGGAGAGTGGAGGAGAAGAGACGACGACTAGCGGAGACCAGCAGCAACCAGCCGGCGATCAATCGTCCGCCATTACAGTTTCAAACACCGACGCGAACGAACTTATGTTGCTTAAATTAATTTAGAGGAAATAGAAGTAGTAAAGAGAAACTGTTAAAGTTTGGTATCTGATCCGAAAATTTCCGTTGGTCAAGTGTTCCGCCGGTGAAGACATCCAAGCCTTAAATCCTCTCCATGAACGTTTGGTAACGAGGTGTTACAGTCCACTGATCCAACAGATAGGAACAGTTAAAAGTTGCATATTTTATTATTTCACAAAATTTTACAGTTTCACATCGTTTGTTAGTGAAAACGGTTCAAAAATACTGTTTTAAAATGAAATACTAAAGAAATAATTATTATAATATCATGAAAAAGGATGGTTGAGAATCGAGAATTGAACTTTGTAATGATTAATTTTACCCTGCTTTAAGGTATGCTGAAATATCAGGGTTATTTGAAATATTCTCTCTGTTAAACTTAGGTGAAAATTCACCAAATGAAACACAGCATATTTTACTCCGTGATGGTGATGGTACCTATTTACTTTTCTCGGAAATGGGAGAACCCATTTGCCGGTTGGTAGGTATTGCACGTTAGATTTGCATGCAATCAAATTTCGTCCAAAACGGGCTTTTGGTACTGGAGAAAGAGCTGAAAAGTGTTCCTAGGGGGGGAATTAACAATATCTGATTTGAGCCTTCATGTGACATATAACATTACAACAACAAACTATCAACATTTAGATCCTGTTTAGGTATGTATCCAATTTCTGACATGAAACAAAATTCAAACTTATTAAATCATATACGAGAAAGACGC